CTATCTACTGCTGCGTCAATTTTGTCCTTCGGGTGCATTGTCAGCTGCTTTGCGTGAATTCCCTCTGCGCCTATTGTTGCCCGCAATACAGTGTGAGCACCCGTGATCAACGTTGTCCGTGACAACCATCATCCGCAACTTATACTTTTTGTCACCCTCGACTATATCCATCACCCGCGACTACTGTCGTCCGTGATCACCGTCACCCGCGAGTTTCGTTGCCCGTGACCACTGTCGTTCGTGACTATATTTGTCATCCGCAAGTCTTGTCGCCCGTGACCACTGTCGTTTGTGACTACCGTCGCCCGCAACTTAAATATCCGCCACCCGCAATTATCGTCGCCCGTGACTCCCGTTGCCTACGACTGCAATGTTCGTCACCCGCGACTATAGTCGCCCGTGACCGTAAGAACCGTTACCGTCAAAGCTGTCACCGGTGACCACATTTGTTACTGACCACGTTTTCCCAGAGATCACCACGTCAACCGTGACAACGGTAAATCAACCACGTCCGAGTGCAACCACGTGGACTGCTACCACGAGAATTGCAACAAAGTCTGCCACAATCATGTCGTTTGTAGCCGGAAAACGTTAACTTTGTCGGAAAAAAAATTTTTGCTTGAGAACCTCGACTTCTCCTCTCGAGACCTGGACTGCAGAAGCAATTCTTCTCAAGTTTTTTCACCACCCGAGCAATTTCTCCTCTGCTCCTTCTACTGCAGAACCAAACCTGAAAGAACTTTGTGATTTTTCAGTTGCAACAGATGTCAAAGTACTTAGTAACTCAACCACAAACTGAGATTTAGCAATCTCAAAATGAAATTGATACTTCAGATACTCTCAAAAACTGTTTACAAAATCTGAAAAATGCTATAGATTTTGAGACTACACAGACTGTCAATTTAGAAAACTAAAACTTGCAATCTGTCGATGCAGAGAAAAATCAAAAACCTCACAAATTGTCGATTTAGAAAACTGAACACTTACAAACTGTCGATTCAAAAAACTGAACACTTACAAACTGTCGATGCAAAAAACTGAACACTTAAAAACTGTCGATGCAGAAAACTAAACACTTACAAACTGTCGATTCAGAAACTGAAGAAAAAAAACTGACAAAAGAAGAAGAAAACTTCCTCTATGAAAAAACTTTCAGAACGTTAAAATAGAGTTCTTTCTTTACGTGGACACTTAACAAAAACGTGGATCCAACTCCAAATCGTAACCTATCTCTGATACCAATTCTTAACGGAAAACGAGGAATCATTCAAGAAACACAAGACACAACATCATAACTTGGTTCACCCTCAGGAGCTACGTCCACGTCTGAAGTGCACGTGAAGCTTCATCGAAACTGAATACACAATACTGCTTCAAAGAAGCTTTGGCCTTGGGGGTATATTTATACCCAAAGCTAACGACACACCTAGCTATAAATAACTATAACCTGAGGTTACTCCTTAACCGGAGTTAACCTCAACATGGCAATGTCAAGAGATGGCAGAACACGAAGATTGGCACAACGTATGCCTTGATTCATTCCTAAAGCATGTTTTTAAGTTCAAGAAAATTACCAACAGAGGATCAAAAAAAAATTCTCTTTAGCTTCATCACACATGAACTCAGAACATTTAAGAAAATCTTTTTGTTTGATTCACACTTGACTCATTTCTCCTTCACTTACATCGTATGCATGCGCTAAAAATCTTTTAGTATGAACATACGTCTTCCTTAACTTCTTCATGATTTCGCATCATTGGAATTTATGAACATTCCTCTTACTTAGCTTCTCAATGATTTTGCATCGTTGGAATCTATGAGGATTCGTCTTACTTAGCTTCTCAATGATTTTGCATTGCTGAAATTTATTGAAACATTTACCGATCAATTTCTTTGACCTTGCAACTTTGACATAGAAGTTTGAACAATGGAAAATGCCTTGTATGAACATTGTTATTTTTGCTTGCTTGCAACTGGTTACAATCATCCACACTAACTCTCGCTCACTTTGAAAAACTTTAAAAGAAGAAAATCGATTTGATGAAATAGTTGTTTGTGCCCATCACACACTTGCATGCAAGCAACTATTTTCCGCTAAAAAACAGTTGAGCGGAAAATGAATCTGCTAAGTCTTTAACACTTGAATTAACTCATCTATCAAATCCAAACAATAAGTTTATGGGCATGAGCAATGTAACAAACGGTGATAAGTAAAGACACAAATGTTGAGTTCGCGAGAACAACTGTTTGATCTGAAAGCTTTCTTAGTTTACACATGTTTGTTTTAAGTAAGAGTAAATCTGTTTAGTCTCGTAGTTTGGTATGTTTACACATGTTTCTATTAAGTAAGTCTCTTTAGTTGGCAAAAGTAAATGTTTGTATTAAGTACGCACTTTCCAATTAAGTACGCAAAATCCTCATGGTATTAATTTGCCTACTTTAACTTGGAGATCATTAGACTTCTGGACTAGGTAGCCAAGCACTTGGGAAAAAATACTCCAAATGATGAGAGAGAGATAACCAAACATTTGGGCATCAGCTTGGAGCTAGCATTTTTTACTACTGTCACGATCAACTTGATAGTCGAGCCTTCTTTAAAGAAGAAAAAAAATCCAAGTGTAAAAGAAGAAACGTCTTAAGAATATCAAGTGCTGAACTAACACGAGAGAGAGATGCCATTGGATCCATGCATACTTGGATTCCTAGCAAAGCTCCACGTATCCATCCTGCCAACTATTGTCGGGAACAAATGACGAGATAATAGAGCTGTTGCTCCTTCCACACTATAGTCGCCAGCTATAGTCCAATAAGTGCAATCCCTCGTTGCACACTATAGCAGCTAACTATATAATTACAAAAACTTTGTGTGGAACATGAATGACGGTAGGCTGAAGTTGCGTCACGAGAGATCACATCAAGTAAAATGATGCGTGTTGGATTCCAAAAAATATTTTGTGTTACGCAATTTTTCTATCAAGTAATTTTCTATGATTCAAAGCATCATGTTTCCGCATTTGAAAACAAAAATTAGCATCTTCAAGAGTTCAAAATAACACATTACCATGTTATTTTTGGGTATAATCATCATTTGTGTATCTGACTTACAAAGTTTCAAGTTTATTCTCCTACATTTAAATAACTTGCATTTTATAAATGCAAATGTTTTTTTTAATGTTGAATAACTCTTTGGAAAATGCATATATATCAAATTATGAATTGAAGCATATTTAGCAACTGAAAAATATGTCTTATTATGACAATATTTTTTTGGATGGTTTTTTAGAATTTCAACTGATCGATTTGATTTAATTCGATCGAATTTCAGTTGATCAACTGATTTGATTACTATTTTTTTGTACTTAAATTTAATTAATAAAAACATGAATTTATGTTGAATTTTAAATTATCCTTTTTTCAAAGTAGTTTGCAGACATCACAGTATCTATGATACGATTTAAGAAGAAAATTTTATGAAGTTATTTAAAAAAATTTAAGTAGTTCAATAGTAATTAGTTAGACCAATTAGTCTTCCACTCTATAAGAGAGCTAGTTGTAATTTTAAATTGCAGAATCAAAGATTTCAACAAATGACTCTTCGTGTGAAATGAACACAGTCCGACTAATATCTTTGTTTGTACTCAATGTCAAATTCTTGAAAATACATGTCAATGTGAATATCAATATTGAAAATTGAAAATAATCATATATACAATGAACTTATAAATTATAAGATCGTCAATTGATTTTGAAGATTTATCCTTACAATATATAGTATTTATGTATGAGATAATGACAAGTAGATAGATTTAAACAAAACAATAAAATGTGACGTTTAATATATTTAAATTTAATACTTCTAAAAATCTATAAGCATTATTTTCACATCCAATGCAAGCTAAAAAGGTAGTCATGTGAAGTCTAAACATATGCTTTTAAATCTAACACTTAAATCAAATTTATTCCAATACTGTATGAAAATATATGCTTTGATGAGCTTTTAAATTCTCTGCATCTTTTTATAGTCCAAGTCTGCAATTGTATGCAAATCTAGTATTAAAAGGATCGATCTTTGTTATAATTAGTTTCATAAGATAGATATTAGACGTTCAATCCAAATGTTAAATATGAGTATCTAAATTATTTTTTAGTTGATCAATCTAACTCGACTTTTTTAATTGATTTTGATCACATCAGTCTATTTCATACATGATTAATTTTTAGCAAGCAATCTATTTCATCTTTAAGGAATTATGTAATAATTGTGAATTTGATTCAACATTGCATCAATTATTTTAACTTGTAAGAACAATTCTTTTAAACAGTGGTATAGATTTGCTATGCCGTCTTCTATCAATATACGTTGTTCCTTTCAAAACTTGATTGTGATAAACTTTTAGATGAATCTCATATTGATATGTTGGACTGATTATCGTGAATAAAGCATGTTAGCTATTGATGATGTCACGAGGCATGTGATATTTCTGCTAAAAGAGAATGTGGATTTTGTACATGAAGTGAATATTGATACATGCAATCAACTAAAGCAGTGCAAAATTTTAAATGATTCTAGATGATTCCAAACTTGGTTTTTATCAAACTACATTTGTTACAAATTTATAAGATGATTATACTGTATATTATTCAACGTGGATGCACGAAAACTTGATTGATGAAGTCATGTGGACGAAGAAATTGACCTTAATATGTAATAGCTGGAGTTATCTTCACATAGTCCAACTTTGAGGTTAGAGAGTGCTAGATTGTGCCATGCTAAATGGAAGAGGTTGATATCTATAATTTTTAAAATGTTCACGTTGCTTGACAAAGATAAGGAATTAATGTCATGCATTCATGAAAAATGATTTGCCTTGATCAATTCTCGTAAACTCTAATTATCGACATTGCAATGGGATTGATGTCTGATCATTTCATCGGTCTGGTTTATTCCATGTCCTATCGAAAGCGTCTTTCATCCTTCTGGTCAGGTTGAATTGTTCCTCCAGATGTCACGCTGAGTTGAGACTTCTCAAGCTCTGATTGGATCGTCGACGTCGTTCTTCGCATACAGAGCCGGACAAGAAATCAGCTCCCTTGTGGTTTTTTGGGACCGGGGAAGAACCTTCGGTCTTTAAATGTACCAGCAACCGCCTTCGCCCGCTGGCTCAGAGAGGAAGCATGGTGGATCAGCTCTTCTCATCGTTGTGAATTCCCTTCAACGTCCCACTTTGCGAGTCAATTGCTCGGGATCTTCGGGAATGACAGAGGTTTTGAAGGTTTATGGAATCAGTTCGAAGAACGAACTCGTTGTTGTGGCCGAGTGAGGACGAGGATCCGGACAATTTTCAGACTGGTTCGTGTAATTGTGGGGTGGGAAAGATTTCCCTTTTCCATCTGCAGGGATCGCGCTTTTAATTTTGAAAGATGGGGATCCGGCGAATTTTGGTAGCATGGGGTGTTCTGATATGTCTTGTTCGAATAGCGGAAGGGGACGGAGGAGATCTGCAGCAGCAGTTGAGCGATGTCGATCTTGGAAGGGTTGTGAAGAGATTGGAGGATGAGAAATCCAGGGCAGGAGTTTCGTGGGTCGTACAACTGTCGGATCTTCATGTCAGCAAATTTCACCCAGAACGTGTTGAGGCCCTTCGAAAATTGATGGGAACAATTCTTGCCACAATACAGCCTTCATTGGTATTGATAACTGGAGACTTGACTGGTGAGATTGTGTTTCTATCATTTAAAAATTTATTGATTTACCATGAATGTCGCAATAGTTAAAACTGTAAATTAGTTAGCTGGTTGGAATCAGTTGTTGAGGTTATCAAGGACGTTCTGGACCTAGACGTGTACTGTACACCTGCGAACGTGGTAAAAGCACATTCGTGTTTTGACGATTTTAGGCAGAACCCTTAAGTTTAGACATGTGTTTGTTGCAAAATTCGATTGAAGCCTGAACTAACGAATTAAATTAGGTGGTGAGAAGGTTGACAACTGACGTTTATGAATATCTTAGTGAAGTTTCAATTTCTGGCATTTTGAGTCCTGGTTGAGTGAGAGTACATCGACATACACCCATAATAGCATAGGCTTGTAACTGTTAAAAGCACGGAATGCCGAAGCTTCAGTGCTTTGAATGCTCTCCAAGTGGCAAGCAATCAACCACACGGAAAGAGTTGTCTCATTTAGCCCTCGTTCGAGACCAAGAATGCCTCTTGATGGAGCCTTTTTTCCATGGGCTAGTAGTCGTAGTTTGGTTTTACATCAAACTAAATTACAATTTTTTTGTAGCTCTGCCATGGTCGAACTGAGATGTTTTGAATATGTTACACCTATGTGTTCTGAAAGTTAAGTTATTGTAGTAGGGCAGTAGTGATTGATAGTTATTGTTTTGTGCAGATGCGAAGAGCAAAACTGGAACTTCTACTCAGCAATATGAAGAGGAGTGGATAGCCTATCGAGACTCAATCGATTTGATGATCAAGGAAAGTGGATTGAACCTCGAACAATTCTATGATCTTAGAGGCAATCATGATAAGTATGGGGTGCCTCTCGCCAAGAGCTCACTGGATTTTTATTCTCAATACAGCTGCAACGCGAGGATGAAGCGTACAAGCCTTGTGCAGAGCGTCACACTGATAGTAAACATCTCAGACTCCGTCATTTATCTTCTATTGAGTTGAGACTGTTTGCTGAAGTCTTGATCCTCTTCAAGTCTTTTCTTATTCATTTCTGTTTGCAATCATGCACTAACTAGAGAACGCTTTTTTTATCAACGAACCGCAAGGTGCTTGTTTGTGGGCAATTGAAATCTGTTTATTCGAACTCAAGCATCTATTCCAGTCTTAATTTTTTAGTGTGTAGTGGATGAATGAATATACTCAACGTTTTTGGACCTGACACTTCTGTCTGACCCTACGCTGTGTGAATCTGCTTCCACGTCGCAGCTGATGAAGTGTTCTTCATAAGCTGCGGTAAGAAGCTCATAGATGGTGAACCTAACAAGGCCACACTGATGCTTGCAGGGTCATGATGGTTGGAAGCACCTCTTTGTGGGAGTAGACGACAGCATGAGCGTTGGCCTGAGGGGACCATCAAACCTATTTGGTCACCCCAGTGACAACACGATTGCCAAACTAGAAAGAGAGCTCAGTCAATGGGATGATGACACCACAACACCTGTTACTAAGGTCGTATTTGGTCACTTCCCTACGTCTTTCACAGCATCTTCAGAAAGCGGGCACCGTTCCGACCAGATTATGGCGAAGCACAATGTCTCTGCCTATATCAATGGGCACTTACACTGCAAATTTGGGCGCCACCTTTACAAGCATCATATGAATGGGATGAAGGGTGAATTTTGGGAATGGGAAATGGGGGATTGGCGCACTTCAAGAATGATGCGTATCCTTGCCTTCGATCACGATCGTGTTTCTTTCGTCGATTTGGATCTGGGAGACTACAGCAAGAAGGTTCTAAGAGGAGAACGTTTTCAGATGCCCACCGTCATTCTCCCAACGAGTCCGCTGGATTCTCGATACATGCTTCGGTCTTCATCTTCACCCTTCCAAGCAGATGGAGGGCCTGTTCGAGCTTTGGTATTCTCCCCTTCACCTCCGTCATCTGTCACAGTGAGAGTGTTTGACTCGGCAGCCAAGTCAGTTTCAAATTTTGTTGACTACAGTCTGGTGGAGTCTTTGAAGATGGTTAGGATCAGTGGGCCTTCAGCTGAAGAGGACGGGGGCCCTTTCGTTTACGAGGCAGCTTGGGAGAGCCAGAAGTATCTGGATTCCTCTCCTACCCGATTCTGGCTACAAATCCAAGTGTTGGACTCCGATAAAAATTCCACTACAAGTGACATGTGGCCTTTTTCGATTCAAGGGAAGATGGCTCCGTTCAAACTCACCTGGCTCGGATTTCTGGTCATGGGATTCCAGTGGGAATCATTCTATCCTGTGGTTCTTTGGATAATGGTTTGTGTCGTTTTGGGGTGCCTTTTGCTCATACCACAACTAGCATACATATACCTCGAAAAGCAGGGCAAGTACGATCGTTGGGCACTCTCAATCTTCAACCCATCAGCAACCAGCAGTTTCCCGTACATTAAACTGCCGGTTTGGGCTTTGCTAGAAGGTGCACGAAATAGGCCTCTGTGGTTGGCACAAGTGGGTTACATCGCATTTTTGCTAGTGTTCCCCTGGTTTTGGGGACGGGTCCTTGCCGAAGACTACCCAGTAGGTTATATGACTCTTTGGGGCTGGACTGTTTGGCCTTCTAAGTCCACAGTTTTTCATCAGTCCGGCGTTGGATGGCCCGATATCATGGGTATTGTTCTGCCATACATCAGCTGCGTTCTTTTCCCCTTTGTCTTGATGGTTTCAGCCCTTTGTGCTGAACAAGGAGCCTGTGAGCTCGTACTGGCGGTAAGTGATGGTGATAAGCTGCTGGGAAAGGACGATGTCAGAACTGATACCGGAATGGGAGTAGGAGAGAACGTCAGCCGTCATGCTACAAAAGCTGCACTTGCGGCCAATGAGAAGGATGACGAGAAGCCTCTTCTGTCGGAGAAAGAGGACACTGGAAGTCCTTCGGCAAGGCATGGATCCGACATTTCATCGGAGGAGGACGAAGAGGAGGTGGCCACTGACAAGCGAGAAAGCAAAGTTTTCAGTCGGAGAGTTCGAAAAATTTACTTCGTTGGCTGCTTTGCAATCGCCTTGCTGCATTTGAGGGTAATCTTTGGCTGGTCTTTGTATATTAACTCTTTGGCTGGTTTCCATTTGGCTGTATTTTCTAACCAATTTCTTAGCTGCTGTTTTTTCTATCTCTTGAAGTTTGTACCTTTGAATTTTATAAAGTTTTCTCCATCTTGGCACATATTACTGCCTTCAGGACCTCGTCAATGGCAGTGGTCTGTCGCGACTTCTAAGCCACAGTCTGTTTTTTTTTACTTGACCAGCTCGTTGAACAGTTTGAAGGTGGTTGCAGCGTAGTAAATGTCTGACCTGGTTTTCTTCCACCCTTGTGCAGCTCTGCTTGTTCATGGCCTCGTCTTATGGAGCTCAAGCGATTTTTCTATCACCATTCTATGTTTGGCCTGTTCCAATTTTGATAGTGCTCTCCATTTATATGACATCGGCCATTAAGCCCAGAAATCTAGTTGTAAATCAGATTTAGATTGCATTATAGGCCCAAAGTTCAAGACATATGGGCTACTTTTTGTACATAAATCTGAATGAAGAACACGTAGAGTTAGCGGATTCAGAGTCTCAGGACTCTGTTTGACGGCCATTTTTATACAGGATCTGGTGGCTGGTGGCTGGTGGCTGGTGGCTGGGTCCTTCAAATTAGAGAATACTTTGTAAGTTGAAGCTGAAGATGAAAAGGAGCTAATGTCCGGCGGCGGAAAATCTTCTCTGGGTCCTATTTGGACCAAATATGATTCATTCATGTGTAAATTGAGAAGCCGTTGAAGTAAAACTGTGACAAATTGTCTAGAGTATCAACGACTTGCTTGAGTACAATATCGAAGGTTCAAGTGTTGGCTTCATCTTTCAGATTGCATAGTTGTCCTTCAAGTACATATTTACCGTTACATCATTCACCTTAATTAGTCTTGTCCATGCGAATACCCTGTCATAAAATTTCCAAGTACCCTGATTATGCTTTGGATTGGAGTTATTGGCTGTGTTTTACATTAAAAAGTATGAAAAATAGAGGAGCAATCATCAGAATGGTATGTGATTCAGACAACCTGTTTGTTGAAAATTGCACCCATGATTCTTTAACACCTAAACTTGTGCGCACCATACGAATTGAGATGTAAGGCTAAACAGATGAAAGTTGTACCTTCTAGCATAAGGCTGATGTTAACGTTGTTGCCATGACATTAAGATAAGAACATGCCGTGAAATCAAGCATGGAATCTGAGCTAGTGTCAACTCACATCGACTGCCATCAGTGAACCTGAAGTGCAATGAGTGTTTGTCGTTGTCGGAAGACCTTGTCTTTCATCTCCAGAAACGTTCAAAACACCACAATTTAAACTAGCAATAGTGCGTGAATATTGAAACCTTATTGATCAAATTGTAGTACTTTCTAGCGCCGAAACCACTCAGTCATATTCTTAACCAGTGCTTTTTTGTCGTTATCACGGCCAACATATGTAGGTATGAAAGCACGGAGGACCGAATGCAGACTCGTATGGGTTTAGATGAATGTACGATAGACCATTCTCTTGGACTTGTCGCACACACCTCACAGCAACATGAGCGACGGGCTAACCGCTAGCCCGTCGCTTAAGAGGCACCACGTTAGCCGCTACGGTCATAATTGCTACGGATTCTTGTCCTCCATTGAGCTCATTTTATCTGACACTGAGCATGTCTGAACCTCTCATATGCATGTATGCGTGTTGTTGTTGTCGTAGTCGGTGCCACTAGGTAGTTAATTGAGGTGATACTCTGGAACCCAGTGCCACCAACACAATCAATGGTTCTACCTTCATCAAAAGATTGTTCTTCCTCTTTTGACTACATCTATCGAGTTCCTAAAGTTTGCTCGAATCGCATCCTCTTCCAGATTTCAAGGGTTTTTCCATTACTCTGACTGTCATCAAAGTGCTCATACACGCTTTAAAATCATGAAGTATACGGGCCATTTCGATCTCGAGCCATGCGCTTTGCAGCGTGGATCAAGCATTGATATCGTAGCTCTTCTGACTCAAGACAGTTCTCAAAACGTACGAGACTCAGCGGGAAAGGGCCACGTATCTCATTAGAAATCGTTTCATCCACACTCATCGTGAACAACGTCGATGTTTATATCTCTCATCTGATCTCTGAACAGGAAGTGTCCAGCCCCGACGATCATGGAAGATCTTCAATGAGCTTTACAGCGAATCAGAGAGAGCATTGCTTCTGGGCTAGACCTGAACGAAATAACACGTACCTCCTGCCACATGCTGATATGCAAGGTCGTAGGCTGATTCCAGACAAATCAACACTACAATCTTCGCTGGCTGAAGTTTTAGTTATATGACTGCTTGTCGTGACGACGACTTTCTGCGGATAAGCCATAATTTGCCGAATGTCGTAATGACAGACTAGTGTTAAGTTTTCTTCTGTTATCGCAAGAGTCGCGTCAGTGATTGGTCCTGTTGCAACGCGAGATACTTCCAGATTAATCTCCTTCCCTTCGTGTAAGTTACCATCTCAAAACCCTGACGTCTTTTCGAGTTTGAGTGTTTCAATCTGAGTTTGAGTATTTCAGCTGAGGTATATCACTACGTGATGTGCTTCCCGATCACCACCACATCACCACATCATCACCACCATTTAGCTTGTAATTCCCTATGACCCAGTTTGAGTTTTAGCTTCCTCAGGGCATTTCATGATTGGCTCTTGCGTGCTCTGTACTTGATTCATTGGTAGTTCGTTTGTGCTTCGATTTGCAGAGCACCTGAGGGTGGAGCTTCCAGAGGTAGAAAGCCCGTTCATGACCATTGATTATTGTGGAAGGTCTAATGCAGAGAAATTTTGTCCCGAGCCAGGAAATGCTTATTTGTGTTAATAGGGCCCTGATGTCTGGTCTTCGTGCCAGGTGACGATGGAGGTTTTGAGCACCATACCAATCCTGCGCATTTTTGACTTAACGAAGGCACAAGAGTTCTACATCGATTTTCTGGGCTTCAAAGTGGACTGGACGCACAAATTTGAGCCCAAGAGCCCCACATACATGCAAGTGTCCAGAGCTGGCTGTCTTTTGCATCTCAGTGAGCATCATGGAGACTCTTGTCCCGGCTCAACCGTTTTCCTCAAAGTCACTGGCCTTGAGAAATTCCACGAAGAGCTCATGGCTAAGGACTACGCATACGCGCGTCCAGGCATCGACGCGCGTATGACTCCTTGGAACACCAAGTCAGTGGAAGTTACAGATCCTTTCGGAAATCGCCTACGCTTCAACGAATACTTGAAAACTTGAGGCAACCAGTTAAGTACAGGTTAGCACCACATTCGATCTACTTTCCCTCTCCTTTACGCTTACCTCAAATCTGATATGTGGAAGTCGCAGATCATATACGATTTTGACATTCTGTTTTACCGCAATGAGTGCCTAGATCCTAGCCTGGCAGGAGCTAAACTTCGTCAGGGTTTAGAATGCTGCATGGGTTCATATTGTTCTCCCGATTTCCGAGATTAGTCAGTGACGTACACGGAAATTCCGCGTGAATACTCTACTAGTATTTGAATGAAAGGATGGAGATTTTTTTCGATTCGCTCCTCAGGGCACAAGATTTCAGCTGATTGGGTACATTCCGGTTTGCTGAGGAAGTCGACTTCTACATGCGCCACTGAAACCTCTCCCATCCTTTATCTATGCCGGGCATTCATTTTTCAAGGCAAGAGATTTCACACGGTTTGATAAGAGCACAGTGTTCCCCCAGCGTGTCGGATCATGATTGAGGAAAAAAACAGAATGAGTTGTTGATCTGCTTTTGTTCGACACGACTTGTGTAAAGCAACAGTATCAACCCTCTTCCTTTTGCAGGTTTGCAGTATTTTGGAAACAGTCGTTTGATCCAAAAGATGTGTGTCACATGTGCCGGCATTAGTTTTTGTGGCCCCGATGGCCTATCGGAGAGGAGGCCAAGCCATTCTGGCAACTTCTGCACAAATTTTTGCATCGCTGAGATAAAAGTCAAGGTAGCTTGGTGTTTCAATGCAACTTCGAGATTGGACGCCTAACCAGTGAACGGTGCCAACATAGTGAACCTTGCTGCCTGCAACATCCGATGCAGAGAGTTTTGTAGCTGTCAAGTGATGTGTAATGAAGGTGAGAGGATGAAACTGAGATTTTGAAAAGTCCGAGTGAGTCACAATCCAGTCGAAGAGCGGGATTCGTCGTTTCCATTATTTCCTATAGACTTGGTTCTGAGTTTGTAGAGAAATAGTGCAAAGTGTCTACTGCGTGCATTCTAACACCGAAACGGAGTCGAGGAAATAAATCGAAATTGCTTCAAGGACGGCAGATGCGATGTTTCCCGCATCCTTTGTCTTGCACTGGTAGTGGGATGGATGCTCGTGTTTCCGCTACACTGGCTGAGCTTGTTGGCTTCTGAGAAATCAGTACGGCACTGAGCACTCATGTTCCAGCTGAACATTTGAGGAATTCTGCTCTTCAGTTCTCCCCGATGCCATCATTTCATGAACTCACAATGAGTAAGGACACTGAATGAAAAATAACGCCTTTCCTTGGAACCAGTGAGAGCTCAAGCACTTACACTCAAGTCCGTTGGGTCCTATGAGATTTGTACACCAGTAGACAAACCTGCGTAAACTTGTCCTGCCATTGAAACTGTAAAGCCCCGCTTTGCCAGTAATAGTGTTCAGGTTGTGTAATACTGAGTCATGATGTCTTTGTTCCTGAAGAGGATGGAATGGGGAAAGTATGCATGTCAGAAAATGAGCTCACTTTCCAACAGAGGTGAAAGTGACCGTCATGGTCAGTCCGATTCCGCTGTAAGAAAGCTACCATGTCGGATGGGAAGAGACTGGCAAGCGTATAGCATCCGGGGAAAGCACTCCGTCGATTTCGCATCAGAACATTTCGTGGCCAGAGGAGCATGGGCTCACAAGAGCGAGGTATGAGGAGGGTGAGCGATGAAGACGCCAGTCTGATCGATCGAAACCGACAAAAGACGAGAACTTTCATCCCTTATGGGTGCCACTCGATTACCTGCATCTGTAAGGTGGAAGGAAAAGATCAAAGCTGAACCACGGAAAAGGTGATTCGCGGTTGTGCGACAAGCTGCGAAAGCCACAAAATACGCGCGGTAATATACTGCCAATCACGTTACAGAACAGAGTGGAAGTCGGTTATTGAGCAGCCATGAAAACAGAGGAGAACGTTTCATTCCACCTGCTAGTCGCGATTCGGCAAAATCTGTCAGCGAAATCACCATCGAGGGGTCCCTTCGATCAAGTGTGACTAGCCAGTTGCAACTTTATGCATTCAAGACATCAGTCACGAGTTGGTGGAGGAAAAAATATGTACAAGGTCAAATCTCCGTATGGAAGGAAGTGAAATAGGACAAAAGGGAGTGGATTTCCGATCTTATGCTTTTCTTTTGATAGAATACGATATTCACTAGACTTGAACCGCCGTCTGAGCCATGTGGCTTTCAACTAGGAATTGACAACTCCGCCACACTTATGATTTGATGGAGTGCAAGCTGTAAGACGTGGCTATTTTCCGTGAAGCTTTACTGTCTCCTCAACATGACAAGTGCTGGATGCCGACAGCATCTTGTGCTCGAACATATGCTGACTCGTGCAGATGACTGTTGACAGAGGTGTGATGCAAAATCGGACTTGATTTGATTTGCATAATTGATCAGTATTAAGGAGCATTGTCTCGCCACCTGGAGCTTTCATTGGTACAATTTCACAAGCTTACTATAGTAATGTATATAAACTATTTATGTTTGTCAAAGAGCCCATATCTTGATATCTCTCATCAATAACTTGGACAGTTCAACTTTTGGCTGCCCACAAGGTTCGCAATTGACATGGATGGACTGTCAGCAATATAACCACTATCTAGTATTTCTGACCTACATCTAAAGTACTCTCACTTTCAGATGCCAGTGTCTTTGCACTAATCATACGTTCACAAAAAAAGCTTCCTCAAAGGTAAAAAAGTTTTGTTTACGTACCTTCTTTTGTTATATAAGATCCTACTCTTGATGTATCCAACAAACATCCACCCTCTGTCAGATAACATGTGCATATGTCAACCCCATATGGGTCATGGAATCAACCGACGCATCAGAATATATGCTTCTCGTGAGCTCTATCCCGGTCTTTTGTTAAGCTCATACAGGCCTCTTCAGGACAAGTTTCTTATCTTGTCAATCCTTACCCCATGCAGCCTCTCCTCAATTCGCAAAAGAGATCCGGAATAAAAATAAAAGTCCAAGCTTTCACATTTACACAACTTGAGGAACTTCACCTGTGTTAGATGTGGTACGTGAACGTCTTATGTAGCAGCACCCTTAGGTAGGTGCGCACACGCACAAGAGTAAACATTGCCATATTGCCATTCGTATTTGGTATGTCAACATTTTCTATGATCAATTACAATACTTAGGTCTCAAGATAAGAGCTAGAACATTATTTGAAGTTGAGCAATTCGGCGTGTGAATTTATTTTACACGCACACACACGCATATATAAAAAGTGGAGTGTCAGTGCACACTTTTTGAGAGCTGAAAAGATTGCTCCGAGCACCCCTCGTCAAATCTTATACTTCGAGGGCCTAGGTATGCTCACGGCAAGCAATGGCAAAGAAAACCCTATCTCACTCGGGGGTGCCGGTGCATGTATCATGACATTGCTAGCGCCATTGAAGCGTATGTTGATATCAAATGTGAACAAAAAACATCTACTCAAGAAAAAACATGGTCAGTGGGATATCCTGGTGCTGGTGAACACACAGTACGTCAGCTACACATGGCTTGGAGCATGTCGATGGCCGGGAAAAGGACGAGAGCTGAGCTGAGGTAATAGAGTGGTGGCTGTAAAGGAGAAGGGGAGCTGCCATGACAAAGATCGGCACTCGGGCGACGGAAGCATGCCAAGAACTACTAGTTCGGTGAGGTGCATCAACCCCCGGGATCGCAGCAACCATGAAACTTGTCCTCCGCCCACAGGTGGTCCGCATGGACCACCACCATCCTTGTCCGAACTCTCCCCCGCCTTTTCGATTTGGTCACACGACGTCTTGCGCATGCTACTCTACACTCGTTAACTGTTCTGCACACGAGTTCTTCTACCTTCGTTCTTCTTCGTCTTCGTCTTCGCTTCGTGCCAATTCCGTTCCAGCTGATCTCGTCCACGGCCATTTGCGAGATGTCCCCTATCTGCTACAAGGATGGATGCCCCTAATGAGCTTGTCGTGACCAAATTTTTTGTTTCCTACGAGGGGTTTTTTCACTTGCATTCCTGTTCGGAGTGAGCACAGAGTTCCAAGTTCTCGTGACTTGCGCTGTGAGGGATAATATCGCACCTCCCACATTTTCGTGCTTGGTCCACATGAGACGATGTGAGCTTTGAGCCCACCCTTAGTGCTCTGGTGGACCCCAAGTGTTTGACTAGTCTATTTGCTGATCGCGTACCATCATTTTCGGGCTTGTAGCCTTTTCAAAAGCGTCTGAAGTTGGATGCATCTGGGGCCAGACATATCTCCAAGGCCGGCCTGGCACAGATATGGATGGTTTAGTACATCATGCACTTTTAGTTTTCGTTGAATCAATGTCCGCAAACATTTCCTTCTCGCAGAAGAAAGGAGTTCCTATGCACCTTCCCTCTCCATCGAATCACATGCACTGTTGACGATACAATTGCATCATGACCTAATCCAGCTAAGGAGATTTTTCGATCGGACTCTTTTTTCTGGATTCTGATGATAAGGTGTGTGTAGCGTACCTTCTTTTGCACTGTGAGAATTCCATAACCAAATGTAGCTTTCGTTCCTCGTTGAAAGGTTTGCGTCAAAAGGTCCCAAGGGGATGGCAATGGCACCAACTTTTATTTAACAGCAAGTGCATATCCGCCCCATGTTCGTAAAACAATCTTCGTGATCCAGACCTTCCCCCAATCTGGTTGTAGCATATGGAGACGAAGAGACATTGCAAACAAGGCTGGACTAATGACATCGTAGATCCTAATTCGTTTGCACGAGCTAACCTCCAACGACGACTTCTTTAAATCAGTTGATATGCAAGACACGATATTTAGAGTTTGATGCCTGCCTCTTTGTGCCCGTGTGTTCCTGTCGTTCTTTTTCCCCTTCTTTCTCTCTTTTCCCTCCGCACATTTCGTTGGGCCTTCCTTCTATCCGCGTTGCTTGTACACTGTTGTCTTTGATGATTAGCTTGATTGCCAAGCGGATGTTTGTGCACGTGACCAATGTCAATGAGTTGACAAAGGAAATGGAGCACATGCTGGGAGTCTCACATGATCGCAGAGCGAAACTGTATGAGAGCTTGAATCGAGAATGAATCGCAGTCCGAGATGTATTCCGGTAATCGTCTGAAATCCAAGAAAGATGTGAACTGGTGCAGAGATCTAAATGACTATATTTGTATGGGACCTACTAATGGCCTCTACATTGCTGAGGTAGTTGTTTATGTTTGACATCATAATCAACAAAAAGCCATCGGTAGGCTCGAAGTCCATCTCAACCATGCGGACCCTCAGACGAGATCCGGATTTAGGCTAAACTTCAGACATTCACGTCAAGGGTCACATGGTTGGAAGTGTGCATCTCATAAGCTGCAACACTGAGCGGTCCCCGTTCGACCAAAGCAACTTGCGCTAAAAATAAAATGCCGTAATTTGGGTGAGTCGGAACTCTATTTGTAATCTCGAAGGCACAGAAAAGCTCACCCGGAGCCAATCAGACGTTCTCGCTAGAACCGGGCCTCTTTCATGATCATGATTGATATTCCAGACAAGCGCCTGCATACCCGAACGGGCAAACATCTTCTCCCGCGAGGTTCAGGTCACATTTCGCTCGACCCTCGTGATCTTTTCATTATCTATGGCTGAACACTTTGCTCTTGCAGAACTCGAGTGCAAAGCGCGGGGCCTTTGTGGTGAACATCGAACTGACGTTCGATGTTGGCCCCATTGCAGTGTGCCAGAATCTTTAGAGCTCCTCCGGATTGGGTCTCGGGCTCCACTATATCTGACCCCACTCTCCAGCAATTCGATCCCGCCAGGTGGCGCCTTTGGAACGCTGCCATGTCAGCTGTCCACGCCACGCTCCTCCCGCTCCCCCGCCGGGGCAGAGCGGGTGCCCGCGGTCAACTGCAGGACTCTTCTTTGACGAAGGAGATTCTTCAGTATCATCACTAAGGTACTTTCGAATTTCACCGTACTGGCTGGTCCGCTCGTGTCCAGGCGTTTGTTTTGTGTTATCGCTAACATAAGTACAGTATTATAAGACAGCAATAAATACGAGAGCGAGAGGGGGCGGGCCGAAAGGACAACCAAGTCGATGAGAAGAGCCATCAAGCCATATCATGAGTAGCTAAAAGGATGGGAAGATACGAGGGATGAAGCAGAATTGGGAGGAATTAAATGGGACTTATAAATAAGGACACTCGGCCATAATCCTTTGGTAACCAGCCTTATAGCTGGCAAAGGAAGCACATCCAGGTCAGTTGTAGCTTCTGTAAGCCGGAAGATGATTTTTTGGAAGATAAAGTTTCATTTTTCTCTGGACATATCAGAAGCTCATGGAATCCATTGTAAAATTTTTAACAAGACTTGCAAAACCCAAGATGTCATAGAAAGGAGTATATAGCTAGGTCAAATGATCAATAAACATTAGTTAGACATCTTAACAGTAGGTAGGTGATAAGTACCAGCATAAACAGGGCTGATTTCGAGCCGCAAGCTTACTGTGGGCTCTTACACTTTCCTTGCATGTTCATTTCAATTACTGCTCATATGAAGACTGGAATAGGAAACGCAAGGAAATATACTGTATGGTGAATTTTTGAGAATAGACATCACAATTCACTTCAAGATGTTATTGGTATCGGTCAAATATTAGGCTGAGTTTCTCTTCTTGGGTCTACATAGAATCATATAGGAAATATGGATTTCCACGAGGAAAATTTGCAGATACAAAATTATTTTTATGAGCATTATTTCAAAATATCCTCCACCAAAGAATGAGGGTTTTGGAATGTGTGACTGAATTAGCTTCAAGAGTTGGGGTCTACATCAATGTAAGGACAATTGTTGTACATGGATACATGTCACACAAAGTCCACTATAACAGGAATGCTACATAACAAAGTAGAGTCATAAGAACTACTGTGCAGAGTTATCTGCCAAATCACATTTATCTTAGAAGGAACTGAATTGTCAACAAGCCAAAAAATGTCGACCTTACAATCAGACAACTGAGAGGAATGGGATACGCATTGAAATTTTACTTCAATCATTCCCTCGATTCTTTGTCACATTTTGACATCGGATAGTCCTGAAGCAATAAACTTTCAGTGTGTCAGCACCCATGATGTTACCTGCTGGCATAATTGAGTTCTACGTCTCTCACAAGCTCTCGTTTTTAGATGCAATCCCATCTTATCTGATACCTTGAGTACGCTTGAAACTTTGGGACCAAAGCAAAGTCTATGCGCACCACTAATTCGCCCACTTTACTCCCTTCTATCCATAATTCTGAATATGCCTGAAGGTAATCGTCCATCGCTAATTTAATCAAGTTAGCAGAAGCGCACGTCGAAGCAGGATTGCTTCTAGAGCACAATTGCAGATCAGGTGCAAGTCTGTCTCGTGGTTACGATAGAAGCAGATTTTTGGAATTAGAAAATCGAAGAAGGAGTAGCATTTGCTGACATGATTTACATTCACATCTAAGAACTTCAACACTCAGATCTTACAAAATAATCATAACCATCGTTTTCTATCTTCTATATATATAAAAAATTTCTGCGTGCACCTCTGGGTAAGTGTATAGCATGCGCTGTAGGATGCGAATTTTCTTGATACAAAATGTCAATAATGATTTGTGGGGAGGAAAGATGCATAGCCACAAGGAATGAGAAAGCGTGTGATGACAGCTCTCGTTTGTTTTTTTGCCTGATTTACTTCCAAAGTCAGAACATCGAAGTCGCGCGATCAATGAAGAGTAATGTTACTCGTCTTTTTCCACAGCATATTAGCCGCAACAATAGATGGGAAAATGCAAGGTCTTCCCTGGTGGGACCATGCATGCTACGGTTCATCCAATATAAGGCGACCTTCAGAAACAAGGTCACCGAGTAACATAGCAAACAGGCTGACGTGAAGAAGTTAGGCCAACACTCCCCGCCCTTTCCCACTGGTCCTTTCCACTTGTGTCCAGCCTTACCAAATGACTTGCTCCGTTACCAGCTAATCACATTTGCTTGTTTCCCTTGCCCATACTCGTTTGGCTTACTATGGCGTATATTCCCCTCGTGCTCATAAGTTGCTCTAGTCGTTGCAAGCGGACAAATATTAGACGGGTTCAAAGCCCATGTTAACATGAATGCGTGGCGTGAAATATATTCGCTATTTCTGAAGAGAAAATTGCGCTTAAATATTTTAAATATAGAGGCGGAATTGGAATCCTAGATGTTAGGAGCAAAGGCCAACACTTCACGAAGATAAGAAGTAATTTGAGGATCCACCGTGTTTTTCATGTGTGAAAGGCCTTCAGCAACACTAGTTTGGAAGGGACAACATAATCGTGAACTTTACTTATGAGCGTATTAAAAGTGTCGAAGTAACTGAAATGGAGATTTATTAGATTTTTTAAAATTTTGAAACTCCACGCTTTCGACAAGATCAGATTCGGGATACAGATATAGACTTGTGTGAAGTAATGAGTTCCTAGAGAAAAGCTAATGTACGTGGATTAATCGACGCAGATGGTCCACTGCGCCATCGAATTATGCCTCTCTCGAAGGAGCCGGATAGCAGATAAGACTGCCGTAGAAAATCACTGTTGAACGAGATGTCTCAGCGAGCGAGCAGTTGAAGATTTCATGCAATGCGGATGGACCAGAGTTTTCCCGCAAGAGAAGTCGATGGAATCGCAGCGACTGATGGCTCTGCCATTCTGCAGTAGGTACTCAAGGAATACCGGGCTCTGATTGGGCGGACCGTCACGGCGCAGCGCCTTCATGAAAGTCGCGGGCGACTGGGGATGAGGTCGCGACGCGCCGTTCTTCGAGCAGTCAAGTCAGTCAGTCAGTCAGTCAGTCAGTCAGTCAGTCAGTCCGTGAGGATCGTACAAGGCGAAGCAGGACGTAGACACTGGGCTACGAGGGAGCGGGGGGCGGATTCGGCGGAATGGAGGGCGGGAATGGTATGTCCATGGACAGGGGCGGATAGCTGGGGCCCGGCCCGGGAAGGAGAGTGGGCCGGGTGGGTGGGCGTCCGATAGGCGATCGGACGGACGGCGGGCGGGCGAAGCTGAGCGGAATCGGGGAGCGAGGAGCGAGGGGAAAGCGATGGAGCAGAGCGGACGGGAGCGGACGAGAGCTGCTGCCTGCTCGTAGAGGAGGGAGGGGTCGGCGACGGAGGGTCGAGGACCGAGGACGCAGAGATGCAAAGCAGGCGGAGCAGCAGCGAGAGATTGTTAGCAGCAGCGAAGGTGGACCATGAAATTGGTTGATCCTGCGAGAAAACGAACAATTCCCGCCACCGCGCTCGAGGTTTGGCGGTCCGCTGTGATTTTCTCGCTTCCGTAACCCTCGAACATTTTAAAAATCTGCCGACCTCGCAGCGCGCAGCTGCCGAGGCTGCTGCTGTGTTCTTGCTTGCTCGCGAGCCGACTTCGTCCCCCGCTCGTATTGGATTGATCTTGGTCCCGCGCTGATGAGGTGAAGCTGTGCGTCGCGAGGATAGGAAATGCGGTGGAGCAGGCGAGGCGTGTGAGTTGAATTCCAAGAAGTGCTCACCTCGGTCGACACTCAGGGGTCAAGCGGAAGGTAGGGAATATGGTGCTGTGCGCGATGGAGGCCGTCGGGGCGCTCACCGGAGGGATCTGCGCCTCCGCTGCTGCTTCTTCCAGTTCTTCGTCGCATGTCGGTCTTCGGAGAGTCGTCAACAGCACTAGCAGTGCGTCGGTGGTCGCTGATTGCGGAAGGAGGAGGGATTTGGACCAGGAAAAGCTCAAAGGAGTAGCAGAGGAGTTAGGTTGCCACAGGTCGAGCCTCTGGGCCGCAGCAGCAGCAGGTGAGACGAGCGTGCGAGGTATCAGGAAAAGCAGGGCTGTAAGGGCTGTAAGCAGGTCCAATTGGGAGAGCTTGAGGAAAGTTTCTGCATTGGCATCGCAATGGGGTTCCGAGTCGTCCGTCGAATGGCAGGAAGACGAGTATCAATATACTAGGCCCGGAAATGGGAGTTTGACTGCAAGCAAAGCTGGGGGTGGGGGAAGCCCCTTGCCCTCTGCCTCCTCATGGCAAGGCGCTCCTCCCATCCAGTCTTTCAACGAGGCTAAGATTAAGGTCATCGGTGTCGGAGGCGGAGGATCGAATGCTGTGAATCGCATGCTTCAAAGTGAAATGAAGGGGGTTGAGTTTTGGATCGTAAATACCGATTCTCAAGCAATGGCAATGTCCCCAGTTCAAGAAGAAAATCGGCTTCAGATTGGGCAGAAGCTGACCCGTGGACTTGGTGCTGGGGGCAACCCTGAGATTGGTATGAGTGCTGCCGAGGAGAGCAAGGCTTTAGTGGAGGAAGCTCTCCGTGGGGCCGATATGGTTTTCGTCACTGTAAGTGCATTCAGTCTTGCCACCTGTGAGTTCATAGGAATCCATGAATTCCCACGCAGAACCTTAATTTGTCCATTTACCTCTTTGTTTTAACCATGTTATGAATTATTGTAGTCGTGCAGCCCGGAAGCCAAATGCCGAGTCTTTGCATGCAGCGTATGTAACGTTTGAAATGCTTTGCGCTGGAGAAATGACGAGTTTTCACCGCCACTGCAGGCCGGCATGGGTGGTGGAACCGGCAGTGGGGCAGCCCCTGTCATTGCAGGTGTTGCCAAAGCTCTCGGAATCTTGACCGTAGGAATAGTCACGACTCCTTTCTCTTTCGAAGGTCGCAGGAGATCCGTCCAAGCCCAAGAGGGTATAGCAGCGTTGAGGAATAATGTGGATACGTTGATTATCATCCCTAATGATAAGCTTTTAACAGCGGTGTCCCAGTCAACCCCTGTGACAGAAGCCTTCAATCTTGCGGATGATATTCTGAGGCAGGGAGTGCGGGGCATATCCGATATCATCACAGTATGTTCTGAACCTAAATTTGAGCAGTACTTTATCTTTCTGCAGGTCGAAGATATGGATCTTCTTGGTTCTGCCGGCCCTCATCTGATTGGCTATGTTTTGCTTGATCTGCACAGGTTCCTGGGCTAGTGAATGTGGATTTTGCGGATGTTCGAGCAATTATGGCTGACGCAGGGTCTTCGTTGATGGGCATTGGCACAGCCACAGGTATTCAGCTGCCAAAATTTTCAAGTATTACCTAGAAAATGTAATTTTCATTGCGTGACTGGACGTATGTTTTTGTGTTTGTGGTGTCCTTGTTTATGGGTTTATGATGTCGTATCATATGCACCGGGAAGTTACACTTAACTGGTCACACAATACACATCACCTTGTCTGTTGCCGGAGTCAAGGGGCAATAGGAATAAAAATAGTAACTGGTTGCGAGAAGCATCAGTGAGCAGACATTCGAGTCACTGTTGAACTCAAACGAGGAAGACGGCTACCGACTGAATTGAAGGCTATCATCAAGGATGTCCAAAAGTTAATCCTGACGTGGAAGAAGATGAGAAATACGTAGCATCTAAGAACCCAAGAGTCCATAGTTCAAAAATCTTTTGTCTTGCAAGATCTTTACATATTACCACGACCTCGCATCGTGCTTTTGCTGTCCCTCAACTGATGTGAACTGGTTAGTTTACTTAGATTCCACTTAAATACCATGGAATAGACTTTTAACTACTTGAATCCTTGTGTTGCAGGGAAATCAAGGGCTCGAGATGCTGCTCTCAGTGCCATTCAGTCACCTTTGCTTGACGTCGGCATTGAGCGTGCCACTGGGATTGTGTGGAATATAACCGGTGGGAGTGATATGACTCTATTTGAGGTACATCAAATCTGTTGCTTCGACTAGAACGAAAGCCTTCATGGCTTTCCTGTTCCCAGTTTGTTTTTGTCATTAGATTGCCGAACCTGGTTAATGAATATAAACCTGAAATCACCCTTCCGTTGTTTTCACTTGTCGTCAACCTTGCGCTTTTCCCTTGTGCCTAATTAAGTGCCATGCGCATTTACAAGGTTTTCCTGTGAAACCATCATTTTCCGGAAATAGGTTGTGTCAAAGAAATCATTTCTCTCAAGATTTTTTTGTTAAATGCCATATTTGTTCCGAGCAGTAAATATTTGGAAAAAGATTAGTGAGTTTGCCTGTAAATACTGTCGTTGTTAGCTCCACCATTGTAACCCTACAGTGGGTTTCGTTTGGTAACCGTCAGGTCGTCTGTAGTATTACACCACAGTTCATTCATGGCAGATCTCGAATGTTTGATTTTGGTAGGTTAATGCAGCAGCAGAAGTGATTTACGATCTCGTGGATCCAAACGCTAATCTGATCTTCGGAGCTGTGGTGGATGAGAGCTACACTGGGGAAGTGAGTCGCTACTTCCTATTACATACTTTCTGATATCTAGTTGTTGTGACTTACGTCGTCATTTCTCCCCGTGTTATTTGTTGTAGTTGTATGTAGCTTTGTTTCTTCCCTTTTTTATGAATGTTCATGAGAAAATGGGAGGTTGCCTTAGTTGTACCTTTTCTGTCTAGATTCCTGGATTGTGCCAAATGGAGTTAACAGATATGTGTATCGCAGGTGAGCATCACATTGATCGCAACCGGATTCCGAGGTCAAGATGACTCAGAACTGCGCTCAGTCCAGGTATGCTTCGTTCATTTTTAGTTACCTTTTGGCGTCGTTTTCTACTTTTGTAAAAGCAGTCGCTTTGCTCTGTTCTTGTTGTTTTTCTGTAATATATACTTCCAGTTAAACAGGTACATTCTCATGCTTGAGTGTATGGTAGGTTTAAGGAACATCTGATCGATGTTTGTACACACGTATGCCTAAATACAGTAAAAAACCCGAGGTTCATTAATCAGCTTACGTGATTATAAAAACTGGTATCATCATGACCCTTTCGTAAACTTCTTGAGATTGGGTAACCTTCGTATGCATCCACACACCAACTTGGAAAGCTAGGCCACGCAAGTATTGTTTCTCAAAGAATCCCAGGTTATAATACTGCGTTAGCGGTGTCGGTCAATCATGTGGCAGGTTGTTTGCCCACGTCTCATCTCGATTTACCAACTATCTTAGGCGAACTTAAATGTCGTTCATATTATCATTCTGTTTTGTTTGTCTGCGGCCTTTCGTGATTGCTGTATTAACCCCTGTGTTTCTTGTGCACTTCAGCAAACGGGCAGATCTATGGATGGAGACCATGGGAGGCGGCCTTCTGGAGTACCCCCGTTGAGCGGAAGTAATGGTAGTACTGTCGATATTCCTAGCTTTCTAAAGAGAAGAGGACGCTCTCGCTATCCTAGAGTTGGTTAATTGTTATAAAATGTAAAGCAAGTCGGGGCGTTCCTCAAGAAGCTTTGTCTCCCTTTCCTTATTAGTCAGTGGTCCTCAAGAGCCCCTTTGGGAGAGCTTGTCGGTTGTTTTCTCTGAATATCTGTCTCCTGTACCATGGCGGTGAATTTGAGGACTACATCTTAGCTGAGATCATACAACTTGTGCACCGAAGTTAATTTGTGTAGCTTATCTTCTTGCTTGTTGATGGTTGATAGGTGGAAGCACAGTCATGTAAGTAGTTGATGGTGTGTTGATTCCACCTCGGTCCATCTATCAGTGGTGTGAATATCTGTTCACCACTTATCCATATGGAGCATCTGTAGCAGTTGTCGATTTGTTGGGTTCAAGTTCAAGTTTGTGAAGGAACACCTTGGGTGGGTGTTTCCAGGCTTTGAGCCTATGTATGAGATTCAGGTAGCTGCAGAGACCCACTTTGGTGTAAGGGAGGTGTTCTTTATCTTGGACCATCTACTTATTTAGGTCGGGGTCTTAAAGGCTAGGTTGAAGATGAACTGATTCCTGTTCGTCATGTTTTGTTGTCCTCCCTGTATGAAAAGAATTCGAGTGTACAGCCACGCCGTTCTTATTGGGTTACCTGACGAGTATCTATTCAGTTTATTGAATGAAGCAGCTATCAATAAAATTCCTGGTTATTCAAGTAGATTCGGTGGACTCAGAGCACAACTCCTCACACCAATGCGAGGTTTATCTAAGTGGAACGTCCTCTGACTGTCCTTATTGTCATTTGATGGAGGGTGAATGTATACGTTACATCTTCGGGTCAGTGTGCTTCACGCGATGTATTGGTCTGGGCTTTCGAAAATATCCATCTCTACATTCATAACTTTTGAGCCAGACCTCAAACTCACTCCTAATATTCAAGGGCAGTTTGGGACCAAATCCACTCTTTGAGTTTGAAAACCGTCATTCGAAACTCGCAACGGTTTGACAGCTGAAAGAACAGTTTGCATTTCATGATTTTTAGCCTCATGCTATTCAAGTCAATGAGTTTTTTCCGGCATTGGGTGATTACACTTTTGTTCAGAGAGGTTGGGAATTGAGTTTCTTGGACCACGTTGTTCTCTGTCTTGGGGCCGTGGGCAGATTCCAAGTCCTCCGAGAAGATGTGGTACGATTTGAAATGGTTGACGTTGTGGGTCGTAGACTGTGTGTGCACGAAATAGATAATCTATTGCCTGTCCAGTACGAAGCTGAAGAGCCTGGTAATATTCTGAAAGGCGATATAAATGGAAACTGAACATTTCGATTTATTTAGCTTCAAAATTATAGCCGCGCTGAATTAACACGCACCAAGCAATGTAGTTCAAAATACTGGACAGAAATCTGACACGCTCACTGCCACAACCGCCAACGGTGGAGTTGGGGTACAAGGTAAAGTTTGAGGAATATCTGTATATACCTTAGGTTCTGCCTGGGTATGAAATGTGTCTTGATATGGTTTTGGTGAAGTCGACCTGTGGACTGGTTAATTACGTCGAATGTACTTTAAATGTTGTGTTTGTGTTTGCGTATCATGATATAGTCATGTTTGATGCAAGAGCCATCATGAATATATATGAAACATGTAAAATTGGAGTGAACTTGTATAAATATATATAGGAAAATTCTCTGTTCACACCTTCTTTTTTTCGGCTAGAATAACACCTTTGAGTATTTTGCGTATTGCCCAGACACTGTTTACCGACGAGTAGACGATCTCTCTCAAAATCACAGCGGGTCATGGTGGGATTCATGTGTCAGGTTCAGCACGTTGAAGGATCCGGTTAATTCTTCAAAATATTAATGATGAAATCACCAAAGTAGTTGATAATTTATATCATTCTATTAACTTTAATTAGTTTGCCAAAATTGGAATTTAGAAAAATTCATTTCTAATTTTTTATCTAATATATCACATTGATGTGGAGGTTTTTTTAATCTCAACAATATCAGTAATTCTTGAGACAATTGTAGGATATTGAATTTTTTGTATAAAACTTCGTAAGTTTTTAAAAATCTAAAACTATTTTTGTGATATCATGATACACATTTTTCCAATATCACTTCAATTCACAGATTTACTATTGTGATGGTATTGAGAAGTTCATTACATAGAAAATCCAGAGGGTGTTTTAATACGTTTTATTATCATACTTTGCATTTTTAATCTCCTCGTGTATAAGATCAAACATAGTTCAGGAAACATATCAACCCACAAAAAGACTGGTTGACATCAGTGATGTCTTAAGGAGGGTATAGAGATCGCTCTTTAATTGTCCGAACAGATTGGTTAAGAAATATTCGCGGCTCTGGCTTTGCTTGGCACGGGCGAAGACGCGACCTTATCCACAAATCCTCACCAGATCAAGAGGGGAACATGTTAAACGAGGTCGCCTTTTTCAGACTGACTTCCGGAAGAGACTTCCGGCAAGCAAAGTCTTTGGGAACTCGGTCTGTCGTCCAATACACAAAGTATCCAAATTTCTGCCTTCGACGGCTGCCCTTTGTCTTTCCTAAGGCTAAATACACTCCCTTACACTGCAAACCACAAGACTTGCCGCCTTCCACATTTCTCTGTCGGGAAAAAGTGTCTTCGGTACTCCCTGATGCTGGAGACCGTCAACTGGTACCTGAGACTTCCGTCTCCGATACAAGTCGATTTCGCCACACGCAGAAAATCTTCCACAACGGAATCCTTCCAAACACATGTATTACGAGTTTGCACAATATCCATACAAAGTGTAGAAATGATTTGCTAATATGATCAACACTAGCTGTACCATGTGCATTTCCTTTGTCAAAGAGGAAACCCGGGGACTCATGGTATAACAGAAAGAAGAGAAAAATAAGGCCCAATATTATTCTTGAAGACAAACAAAGATGTTAGAAAACTACGTACTCAAAGTCATAGTTTTGTGCTTAGTTATGATGATGTTTTATAAGAAATCAGTTGTTTTATACAAGAACAAGTCGGAAGTTTTTGTACATCTGTCCATGTGCTCACTATGGAGTAAAGCATACACATGGTATAAAAATTGATAAAAAAAATTTCAACATGAGTAAAATTAAATGTTTTTCATGTCTATATAATAATCCAATATTATTAAACACAACTCCGGTTAAAGAGTTATCTCATATTCAATTATTTATAGTTGAGATTAGTCACCAGTGTTGGATACATATACCAAAGGTCTATGTATTTTCAAACAATACGCACAATATATTATCACGATGCTATTCCCCTCTGCCCTTGAACGTGAATTATGTGATATGGTAGTGTCTTGTGCTGGTTGCTTGGCTTGGATGTATCATTGTATTTCTAGGTTTTTACGTTCACAAATCCAAGGAACAAAGAAAAGTAAAAGGACCCAAAAAACCTTTAATATGTTAAATGAGAAATGAGCAATATGAAATTGTCATTTAGAGATGTAATCTTTAATGTGATGATGGAAATGAATAATGATAAACACAAAAATTATACAAATAAATCCATGTGTTAAAAAATCAATACATCGATGATCATGAATACATAATTTTCACGCTCATTCAGAAAGTTTTCTTTGAATGAGTGTGATTAGGAGTTATTTTTCATGAGAATACATTTTTTAAGAATTTAGATTCTCTTGGTGGATTGACTGTGATTTGGATCTTTTTATATATTTTAAATTTTTTAAACTTTACTTTAGCTCCAAGAATGATTGGTAGATCATGGCTTAGATATCGATCTAAGCTATGGTAAAACTCTAACATGGGCCAACTTGATGTTTCAAAATGTTTGATGTTTCAACTTTATGTTTCTCACTTTGTGTTTCAAAATTATTTTAAGGTTTTTGCACCATTTAGAATTCACAATAGCCATATTTGTCTTGGGCCACTCTAACAGTAATTAACGAAATTGTAATAATGTAATATAATGTAAAGTGCTTCAATTGTAAAACATAATTTCAGATCATGTATTTTTTGCTCATATGAAATGATCTGAAATTGCATCTTGTAAAAATTAAGGTATTTGAGAAATTTTTAGATTATTTCTCATATATATATCTGATGTTTTAATATTAAATACTAAATTAAAATATTATATATGACAATTTTTTGTTCACCAATTTTGGACTATATTATTCATCTAGAATAAAAATCTATTTCATACAACTAGATATTACAAGTGGAGAGCGAAAACGTGAAATCCCAGATATAACAGTACTGTAAGCATATTCAAGTCTTGTATCTAACAATTCAAACCCATTCTCTAAGTCGAATCCGGAATCGGACAAACCAGACATGCTTAAATTAATGCAAAACGGCAAATATAATTAAAAAGATGAAAAAATCGGATGAGCCCATTAGCAGAACGTAAATGGAAACGAATATAAAACAGATCCTACAATTCGTGTCAATGGCCATGAAACTTTGTAGTCTCCTCATGAAGAAAGAGAAAACATTCTCTCCACATCCTCAAGTGCGAAAAGTATCGAAGCAGATCCTTCAAAGCAAAGCTTGGGACATGGAACACCACTCCCTCCAGACACGACAGCGCATGGACTCGGACAGACAGAGATGACTGTGGCAGCCGCCAGACTGGAGGAGGTATGAATGCGGCATCAGGATTTGACCAGCGGCGGGGACCGGTCCAGGACGAGAGGTGCTGTTGGATTATTCGAGCTAGAGACAAGAGGTGTCGGCCGGTGGGTGCAGGCAGGCAGACACACCGAACAAGGCAAATGTCGGGTCCCAGTCAGCCGCAGCTGCACGAGGCGCTGGCGGACACCTGTGCCTCCGGCTCCGAGGTGGCGCACGGCAGCGGCTGCGTGGGAACGCCGCGATGTCCAGCTCCGCTCAACCTGCCGTCTTCCCTGAATCGTCATCCGCCCAGGCGACGTACAGTCACGGATCATCGACGAATCAGACTCGATCGATCGATCGATTGGAGGGGGAAAGAGCTTTTAGAGTGTGCGCTGATCCGCGCCATCCAGACTCTGAGCACGTCCCGCAGCTTTTTCGATGAATTTTCCCCCGCTGCCACTGAAAGCATCAGCTTCTCGTGCAGTCAGGCAGGCAGGCAGGCAAGCAATCGAGTGCTCGACTGAGAATTCGCGGAACGAACTCATCGACGAGAGATCAGAGTGCTCGAGGGATCTGAGATGCTTTGGCTCGCAATCGGTGGTCGAGTAGGGTGGCCTCCCCTCTGATACTCAGCTCGTGCCCGGAGCTCGAACCTGTGTGCTCGTGACAAATCTGTAATATTCGCATTCTGATCGATCGACCCACTTGCGACGGATGCGCTTGTGACAGTGGGTTGAATGGAGTCTCCGCCAGGCCGCGGACCGATGGCGGACAGTTGCGGAGTGTGAATTGGCTGAATCTCGCAACTCGTGTTGAGCATAAGCGGAGCGAGTAATCGGGGTTGAAGGGTGAGCGGGCTCCTGATGGCCATTCGGAAAGTAGATAGGGTTAAAGAGTCGAGCCAGGTGGTCGATGAGGTGCGTTGTTTTTGCCTGCCGGGGGACTTCGGAAAAGGGTTCAGACACAAAGTGAAGGCCAGTGACAGCGACTCGTCCCTCGCGACACAGTCCAAGTCCCGATCAAGCTCCTCGCAAACGACGGGCTTTTTCGTCCGGTCCAAAGGGAGTGACAGTGATTCCCCCAATTCCAGCTCGAAATCCATCCGCAGCTCATTTCAGTCAGCGGGTTCACATTTTTGGTCCAAGGCTAGCGACGGCGATTCGCCGAGTTCTCTGTCGATCATCCCTTGCCTCAGAGGTAGAACGCCGAACCTTCCTGCCTAGTGCCTTGTTTTGCTGCTAGTCTACCGATCCCAGTCACCTCACCAATCGCCGATTCGATGATCACATTCCACTCACTGGGACGGGATGAGCGTGATAACGAGAAGTTGAACTGCCCTTAGCTTTAGCGTGTGGTTGTCGATGAGAGAATTTGTTCTGACTTGAGATTTTGGACGTGTATGCATCAACTTCCCCGATGACCGACAGTTCCCGAAACCGAAGAAGGCGACTCTGTACGCCCCTCCGTTGCACCCAGACAGCTGCACCGCTTTGCGTACAAAGATCTAGAAAATGCGACCAAGTGCTTCAACGAGTGCAATCTACTCCGTCATGCACCGTATAAGGTGATCTATCCATCACTTCCTCAGAACGCTGCTTGGCTTTGAACCATTCCGACCAGTCCCGGGTGGACTTTGAGCTAAAGCTGTCGAGCAGCAAATGGCTGAAGAGTAGACCTGACTGTTTGTAACTCAGGTTTACAGAGGGACATTGCCCTCAGGCGATGTAGTGAATGTGAGAAGAGTTTCGGACATCGAGAGCTCGAGGTTCCGCAGGGAGGTCGAGACGCAGTCACGACTGGAGCATGAGAATCTTGTGTGTCTTGTCGGCTTCTCCGACGATCAAGGAGAGCAGTTATTGGTTTCCGACGCCCTCGGACACGGAACTCTGGAAGATCATCTCCAAGGTTGGTGCGTGGTGCGTTGCCCGAGTGATGATTGAGGCTCTGTTTCCTTTTTTCGAAAATATGAACTCGAGAACTCATTAATTTTGGGAGGAGAGATACTTGCATACTGGCACTAGTTGTCGAAAGTAATTCACAAATTTGAGCCCGAAGTGGACGCATGGTAGGACAGGAAACGGCTCGTCCTCAGAAAGGGAATCAGAGAGTTTGATGGTTTGGTCCCGACGTCGCTTTTCCAGGTCCTTCCGGTTGTTCACTGCAATGGAGCACAAGACTCGGCATAGCTCTTGGGGTTGCGAGAGCAATTGCTTATCTCCATTGGAAGCAAGATCCGCCAATTATCCATGAGGACTTGAGGCCGAGTAATATTTTCCTAGGAGACGATTTCGTCGCGAAGGTTGCCAACTACACTCCTCCATGTCAGTGCGGCGAGTTCGTGGCCATAGCTCGATCTTGGGTAAGGAAGTGTTCATTGGTTTCTTAAATTATTGAAACTACCGTAAAGCGCTCTCCCTCTGGTCGAGTGCTACGCACCTCCTTTCGTAAAGCGCGTTCTTAGTTTCGGGTATTTTAGGCGTTGAACGCCGGCTCTTATAATCTCCTTGAAGTCCCTAAATTGGTTTGAGAAAAGGAAGCTTGGTATGAAATTGCTGATCGGTCGGATCTTCAGAAAGTTCAGACCAAAATCTTGCAAAGTCTAGCTTGTATACCAAAAACTTATAGATGACATTAATTTCATTGGCAGGAATATCATGATCCAGGGTCCGTGTCACAAGTTCAGACCGAGTACTGCAATGTCTATAGTTTCGGCGTGATACTTCTTCAGCTCCTGACTGGAAGGCCAACTCATGAGTCGGGGACAAGGAAGAGTCTTGTTGACAGGGTCAGGAAGCACCAACAGAAAGCGGAGGATGGGAACTTTGAAGCCATGCGACCTCTCATTGATGGAGTGATTGCAAACGAATCGGCTGCAGTTCTTCAAGCAGTTATGAACTTGGCACTGCGATGTGTAGGGAAAGATCGTGATGATCGACCCACTATGGAAGAAGTTGTTGAAGCACTTCAAAATCTGATCGAGCATGAGTGACTCGTCATTACCACATCAGCTGTATCTTATATCTTTGTTCTGAAACATACATGATTCCAGTATTTTGTGGGGGTTTGTCATATCCAGTCACTGCGGATTTCGTGCCAGAGCAAACAGTGGAAGAGAGTTTGAAGTTTACGGGGAGATCCTATCACTACCGGTAGCAGTAGTTCCAGTCTTGCACATTTCATTGGACTCAGAGAGATCACTCAGATACAAAATTCAAACAATAGAAACGGGAAATGGCACATGTAATGCATTCCCAATTTAATAGGCAGATTAGCCTGCAGAATTTGTAGATTCATATGCCTCTCATGTAGAATTTCTCGAAGGTAATTTTTTCCCACCCACGAGTCAAAATAGTACTTAGGAGGTTCATGTGGAGAAATTGGGACCACTTTCATTTGGTAACTTAGCATTAGATAGAGAACTGAGGTACCACTAGAACTAGTTGATCGGAGAGCTCTGTAGCATATGTATCATTTGCATTCTCAGCAAGTGATTTTCAGTTTTATAAGTTCCTACCAACGCCCGCACTGGAGGTTGTAGCATGCATCTGACCCTTGGACGAAACTAGCCATTTTCCTTATGCAGATTCAGGTGCTCAAAGGTCAACTTGAAAGTCTTGTTATTGGCAGCTGGAGCAGCACAATGTTCCCTACAGCAAACGCTGTTTGCCCCGTTGACTGTTACGAAATCAGGAAGCGAAGAAGCTCAAAGAGAATCAGACTTCACTTCGGTGTGCCTGCCGTAGCCAGAAGGCTGTATACATGCAATACATAGTTGTGATGAATCAATGGGCCATTTCTGCTGCCGCTTGATTCTCTGTTTATGAGTTTTCTCCGGTTAGTATCATATAGGGAGGGTCGATCGGTACAAGGTGCGTTGAAGTTATAGACCACTCCTCGGTGACGACAGGTGATTCTGAGAGTATCAATTTGGACTATGATTGTCTACAAAACGTTCAAGGATTGATCTTCATACAACCAGCTATAGAAATTTGTGAGTTTGCTTTGTTCCACCGGTCCAGTTTTTCAACTAGTATTTCCAAATTTTCAGATGGAAATTTCTCTAACTCCCGTTGTTTAATCTCAAGGGAGTTCATTCATTCTAAAAACATGAAAAACTATCAGCAAGCTTGTTAAATTTTCTTTAAAGAGATATGCTCATGTTCTCTAATCGAATATTTACTTTAGTTGTTACGTATCAAAAATCAAAAAAAAATCTGATGCTGTAAAAATGCAATAATTTCATTTTCAAAATTGATATCAATCTTATTATTTTCATATATATATATACATATATATATATACTTTAAACAATTAATAAAAATTCATATTTTTTGGTTATCAATCTAAGATAAATAAATATGTACATATAGTTTTTTTTGAATAATGTTGATTAATTATTTAAATTTGATGTCCTTGTGACTCAAAAAATAATTTATAATAAATATGTATTGCTCAAAATTAACTTTTCTAATTTTTATGTTCTTTAGTTGATTGCGACGAACAATGCAGTGACAATCGATTTTAAAATGAAAAAACAGATTTCTATCAGATATTCCAACGAATAATGGAAAAAACCCATTTGATTTGGTCCAAATGGGTGCATCTCGTATTCACCTGATTCTTGAGGTTTTTGAAATTATGACAATGCAAATATAAAGTTCTAATGCAAATTGTGATAAGCTAGACGTATGACATACATTAAACAGGAATACTTCGCACAATACTTCACGTGATGCAATGAGCTTCGAGCTAAAATCAATCAGACTTTCACACGAGACTTTCTTTTGGTTCATGTGTGTGGTTTCTGCTGGGACGATATCTGTAGTTATGGTGGGAGTAGAGTGTTTACTGCCTCCAATCTCTAATGCGATCTTTGCCTAAATCAACACTCGATTTAACTTCTCCTGTGGCTTTACTGTTATTCCTTCACTTACATACTTAGTCCACGAGGACCAAACTATCAAACCCTCTTTCAAAACTAGAGGCATGACAAAAAAAGAAGCGACTTCCACATGTCCTTACGAAGTGCGTCCGACATGTCTTGGTTGGAAGCTGTGGATGCATTCACGTGATCAAGATTCAATTTTCAAGGCACCTTCTTAACTGCAATAACAAACTTAATCTTTGTAGATATGAGTTACCTTTCACTCTGTTCTGTCAAAGCGTTGTAAGCGGATGTTGTAGATTCCAAATCGCACACTTGAACCTGAATGTTCTTAACATATGGCTGAATCCTTCACCAACTTGACTTTGATTCTACACATTGCCGTGGAAATCATTTCGATATACATATCTCAAGCAAGCGGCACACAAATCTGCACCTGTAAACATATGCTGGGTACTCTTAACGCAACCTGAATAAGGCTTCGTTTATAAATCTGATGCTCCTGATCTTGCACCAGGTACTGCTCTCAGTTGCAGGTCCAGTTGCAAAAGCTAGGTGTCATATTAGAGTCGAAGTACCGGCTGTACCGTAAAACACCAACTCAAAGCTTCCCGAGAGTCGATCTCTTCTGCTTGTCAGGGTCTCTTCATGCTTCCCAGGGCCCGTATGGCCCTGGGAAACATGAAAGATATGCGAGTGAGTTCGAACTGACAGGTGAGAAGACAAGCAGAAGAGAGGGCCAAACGGGCCACGATTACGACTATCTGAGCAGTTAACAATGTCTTCTCCTTGAAGTCGGCATGTATTTCGAAGTACAGAAATTTGGCCGGAGGTTTTGATCCTTCTAAACTATTCTTGGAGGCAGAGGTAGATCTAGTCAATTGAAGATCCTATGAAGAACCGCCTCTAACAACTTCTTACAACGACGTCTAAAATGTGTACAGTACATGGAGGGTTTTAGTGAGTAAGAACCGAATCAACAGTTGTGATGTGTCCACTGCAGGCGGCAGTGCACTCACACCACATTGAAAGGTTTTTGAAAAGAAATTCCAACACTTGAAGCAGCTTTGAGAAAAGTTTTGATAACATAACATGTACAAACTATCATCAAATGCCAGTTTCAAGAAGAAAACAATATTTCTCGGTACGCATCATCAAGAACTTTGAATGAATGTTTCAAAATTTCCGGGACTAGAAAATGATAACATTTGAACAAAAATGAAAAGCTTCATAAGACTATTGCAATTTTAGCATACCTCTTCAAAACTGTTTCAAGAATGATAAGTCACTTCATAGAATGATTTCCCAGATATGATCAACTTACATGGAGCCGAAAACTTCAGAGTAATTTTTTAACTCATTTAGTAGAAGAAATGACTGATTAAATAATCTGTTAATTTATATGATCATCTGATATAATCTATCAAGTATAAAGATCTCTATCTTCATCTGATGCATCTTTAATTTGCAGAAAGCAACTAATTATTCATATTTACCCTACCAGTCTTAGAATGTCCAACAATCACACATCTTGTTACAAACACAAATGAGTTATCTATTGATCAAATTGCTCCTTGTACTATTGGCTAAACTTTGCGTTTGTTGTAACTTCAGATTTCTAAAATTTAAGTTTTAACAAACTGTCGACTTTGAACTGGAATTATTACTCGGTGATTGCTAATAAATATTTATTATTCATCATTTTTAACTTCTGAATGTTTCTTAAAAAATTTCTAATATACTAATTAAGAACACTTGTCAAGAATTTCGTACATAAAAAGTAACTCAGTTCTTTACCTTCTTTTGTATTGTTTTCTTATTATGCATTTTTAATATGACATACTAATGAGTTTTAAGTTTCACTACAAGATCATCAACACAAAGTATTGCTCAAAGGAAGCTATTTTTACATAAACACAAGGCTATTTATATAAAATTATAGATATCTCAACTCCACACAATGTTGTTCAAACAAAGCTATGTATAAATACATATAAACAAAAATACATTTTTAAAATCCTATTTCATTTAAAAAAATATGACAATTGATTTTCAGACTTATTATGAAGTAATAGTTGCGGTACCTTTTAACTAGATGAAACAAAGATTTAATTTAATGTATAACATAAGGTAAATTAAAAATAACCTTGACTTTTAATCGGCTGTAATGTTGGTGAGAGTCGGAAGATTATTTAACGTGACGAGTAGAATTGTACGTAGTAGTGCGATCATTTTCTCAATAATTGTTTTTGATGTAATTCTGTTTTGTGAAATTCTCAACAATTAGTATTGGAGCAAGCTTTGATTGATTGTGCTTGTTCGCTTGTCGTCAAATGATCAGACCTTCACTTATAATTTCTAGGTTGACGTTCATGACTTTGATCTTGACCACAACTGCTTGTGGGCTTGCTCAAGAGCATAAACCTTCGCCCCCTTGAGGAGTTCAGTGAGCAGGGACAATCCAAGACACAACGAAAAAGCAGCGAGCGTAAATGCAACAGTCATTTGCACAAGATGTTCATCCTTATTACGTGATTTTGATCTTTTATTGATCGTCTATTGTGCATTTTTTTCCAAAATAACCTCAAGCGTTGAATAGTGAGTGCTGGAAGATTTTGAATATGGGTCCAAGAAGCGCGAGTTTGCAACGTAGGATCTGCACAAAAAAAAAGTAAAAAGTGAGCTTGCAAGGATCTAAAGAATTGCAAAGCAAGAAAGTAAAAGCACTGTGAAATATAAAATATTTTGAGAGTCCAACCGTCACGAAAGATGAAATATTTTTTTTGACAAATAGTCGCAAAAGACAATAGTTGCGAAGATCAAATAGACGGAGTATCGTTAGATGGAGAACCATAGTATCAAAGATTTGTGACTATTGATTGTTGGAATATTTTGCTTGACAAAATACGTCACCTCAACAAAATATTCTAGATATATAATATTTAATCCATTCATGACAGATGAGATGAGGAAATGAGTGAGTAGGAAGAAGTTTTGACTCAAACAGTACCATTTGTAACTCCAAATACTTCTCGTAATGAGATCGCGGCCACAGAGCTTAAGAGAACAAGTTATCACATAGTCAAATACTACATATGTGATGATTATATGCTATGGGAGAGACAGATGAAAGGCAAGTTGAAAATCATGAATCTTTGCAAGATGTTGAGACCTAAACCATCCAACTACAACAAAGATGACTAGAAAGAACGACAAGAACAAGTTGTGAGTATTGTCATACTTCATTTGCAACCACTAGTATTAAACAAGTGGATGAATATGACAAATGCACTCTATGTTTGAGTCTCTAGTGCAAAGGATTCATTGTAAAGAATTATCAAACATGTTATATGATTTCTTGAAGCGGATAAGTTTCAAGATGGAAGATTTTCGACACAAATATCTAAGATCACATCAATGGATTTGGTGGCAATTTAATTGATTCACATAATTTTAGAGAGGTGATCACTGATGAGAAAAAAGTTTTTTAATCTTTTGAATTCATTGCTTGCATCTTATCAATCAATATCACATGTATTGTTTCATCGCGATCAAAAGACAATAATTTACAACGAGGTTGTAAATATTGTGTTGACTGATGATTTATGGCAGAATATGATGTTACTATTACATGTGATAAGACAATCTTTAGAGATCATAAGCACAACAATTTATAATAAAGGACATTACCATATGTTCAAAAAAAATAATATTATTAAATCTTAAACAAAGATTTATCATGTATGTCATTCTAGACTATGACACACATGAATAATAGATTTTTGTCTCTACTAGGCAGGAGAAAATTGTTATCTAGCAATAGAGATGTTGACTTAGAGTTTGCAAATATTGAATCATGAAAAAACATCATAGACAAGTCTTTGACGTTGTAACTCACAATTCCAAGAGGTTGTTTAAGTATGTACATTGTGAAATGTGGGAACACCCTTCAAAAACCTCATTCTTTTGGAAGTTTTACTATGTATCAATAATTGATAATTACTCAAGGTTTGTGTAGGTTTATTTCCTCACACACAAGTTTGAGATGTTTATAACTTTCAAAAGTTGGAAAATTCAAGTTGAAATTCAGACTTGACACATGAGATATTTAAGTACAGATAATGGCAGTAAATAAACTTATAAGAAAATTTGAAATTATCATAAAAATTTGAGAATTACTTGTCATCTCATCATGATTTATATTCTGCAACACTATGCTATTGTTAAGAGTTTCACTCCAA